TGATCTTTGAACTCTACAATCTTGAAGAAAATTTCAATGGCTAAAATCCGTCTGTAGCTAGCTTCACTGTCTCATGCACACACAAAGACAATTTTCAGAAGATGAAATAAGTGGAAAAGGTTACTCCAAGTGACTGAAAAACAATCCAATCAAGCTCTCAACAATTCACTCTTTGATTGATTAACTTTCAGTAGTCATGACCAATATAATGAGAGCAGAAATCAGCTTTGATGCACTGAAGAGTTGTCCTTAGTTTAATGCAAGGCCTAAATTGGGGACATTCAATGTGTAACTTTAAAATAATAGGAGGGTACTTCATAAAGCACAAGCAACAAAAGAAAAAGTGAACAAATTATATTACATTAAACTAAAAAGCTTCTGCACAGCAAAAGAATCAATAGAATGAGAAGACAACCTACAGAATGGGAGAAAATATTTGCAAGCTATGTATCCATTAAGGGATTAATATCCGGAATATACATAGAACTCAAACAAGTATATGGCAGAAAAACAAATAATCCAATTAGAAAATGGACCAGGGAGATGAATAGACATTTTTCAAAGGAGGACATACAAATGGGCAACAGTTACAAGAAAAAATGCTCAGCATCACTAGTCATCAGAGAAATCCAAACCAAAACCACACCAGATATTATCGCACCCCAGGTAGACTGGCCATTATTAAAAAGACTGAGAGTAACAAATGCTGGTGAGGATGCAGGAAAGGGGAACTCTTCTACACTGTTGGCGGGACTGTAAACTGGCACAGCCATTATGGAAAACGGTATGGAGGTTTCTTAAACAACTACAGATAGGGCTACCATATGATCCAGCAATCCCACTGCTGGGTATATACCCAGAGGAATGGAAACCATCACGTCGAAAGGATACCTGCACTCCCATGTTCACTGCAGCTCTGTTTCCAAGAGCCAGAATATGAAACCAACCTAAGTGTCCATCGACAGATGGCAGGATAAAGAAAATGTAGTATATATACACAGCGGAATAAATAAGAATGAAATTCTGCCATTTGCAGCAACATGGATGAGTCTGTAGAAAATTATGTCACTTGAAATAAGACAGACAAAGAAAGAGAAATACTGCATGTTCTCACTCATAACTGGCTGCTAGGAAGGAAGGCAAGGAGGGAGGAAGAGAGGAAGCGAGGGAGGGACGAAAGAAGAAATGAAGGAAAGAACGAAAGGAAAGACAATAATATGTTGAACTTTCAGAAGGAGAGAACAAACCTAAGGATACTAGAGATTGGGGGGAGGAAA